AAATGATTTAGCACTTTCATATTGAAACAAGCCTGCTAGCCTATGTACAAAATTAGCAAAATGTTTGTTTATAAAAAAAAGGGATGTTCTGGGGAAAATTTCAGGTTATTAATTTAAAACTAGCAGTTTTGTACCTGGTGAACTGTGGTGCAGCTACCACTGGTTGTGACTTGAATTTGATATGTAAAGAAGGGGCTAGTGGTATTTCATTGCTGCTAAAAAAGAAAAAAATGGCAACGTTCTGTGTCCTTTGTTTTTTTTTTCTTAAAGCTGTCATTGTACAAATGGAAAATTGAAAATAGAACTCTTCATGTTTAAATGCTGAGTGGAAATTCATTTTCTCAGCAACGTGAAAACTGACATGAAGTTCTGCTTTTCCAGGAGTGTATTTTGATGCGTGGTGAAACATTTACATAGGCAATCTTAAAATCTAATTTGGCTAACTTGGGCTGGAGTTAATTAAAGTTGTATTCCCATATATAGGAATATGGTCAGAATTCATTACATTTCAAGGATCTCCTCTCATCTATGTCCCTTCCCACTTTAGGATGCCCAAAATCCAGGATTTTTTGCCTGATCCATTTAGAACAGTTTATGTAGTTGTCTAATTAATTGAGAATTAAATAAATCTTGTCAATAATGCAGCCTCTTCATGCAGTGTTTAAACTGTTTTAAACATAGATTTCAATTTGAAGATAAGATCTTTTGATTATCAGTTTGGAAAAAGTCAGAATCCTCACTTAATTTGAAATTTAAGGTGTTGTCATAATATAAGCCCTTGACCTGAAATAGGGATCTGTGGTCAGAGACTTCTAGCCATGAAATGGCTGCACCTCAGAAAGTCTCATATTTTGAGTTACGAAACTTAGATATGGTCATCTAGACATGGTCTCAGGGTTACCAAGTCCCATCTTTGAAGCAACAGTTTTATCAATGTCAGGTGATACAATAGCTAGCATTTTAGCTACACTCTAGAAGACTTCTTCCTGCTGGGACCACTATTGAAGAGTGACTTGGTGAAGAAGGGAACATCGAATAATGTGACTGGGCTGGCTTAGTGCCCCATCTACAAAATAAATACATAGATAAAATCATAGATGCTGAGTTTCTGATCTTGCAATAAGATCATTGGTGTCAAATCTTTTAAGCAAAATGTTTATTTCTCCTGGCTGTTTTTATATTAATGGTCATCTGCTGTTATAACTGGTATTGAACAAGCTACCTTAATTTAAATGTAAGCCTCCAAAACTTTAAAGACAGGTGAAATGATCTGAATTTATATATATAAAAATAAAAATGAAATGAAACATATATATTATGATATTCAAAAATGCAATCTTCAGAAAACCAATTTGTGTGATGAGTATTTGTTTTCTATGTATTAGTGGGGGCAGACTGCTTGGAGTGTTGATTTCCTAGTGGACTATCTACCTCTCGTCTCAAACTTGATACAAGTGCCCTTGTACTGTTTTTGACTGAGTACAGGTTCCATTAAAGAGTTCTCTAATTCTATAGCTAGTGGCTAGAGGAGCATTTTCCATACGGTTTTGGGTAATTTAGTGAGTTCTTGTGAGTTATATTTATATACTGTTTTATTGCATTGTACAGACTTCCTTTTTTTTTCCAGGTATTAAATATGTCTTACTACAGTTGTAGATTTTTCTTAGTTCAGGCAAGATTAAAATACCCAGATAGGACAATGTGGGTTCTCAGAAAAATATTTTGAGCCTAATCTTAAAAATGAACACTAGAAATATTAATTTATGAATATTTTAAATAATGGATTGAATTTTTAATGTAAATTTTATATTAAAAATGAACAATTGTTCAATACTAGTTGCACCAGAACTCCTTACGTAAAACTTATAAATTACCATATCTAAATCATTGTAAATCGGGAAGTTTTACTTCAGCAAAAGTAAATCCTTATTTTTTTGCTGGCCTATCTGTATGTTTATCCCATTAGCATTACATAAGTATCTAATGCTTTTACAGTGATTTATAATCAAAACCCCTTTGAAGCACTCGCTGGGCAAGCAGTAAACTTTCAGATCTCTCCTAAAATGCTATGCCATTTTCAGTAACAATTACTGTATAAACTGAATTTTACAAATGATTATATACTATGATACATTACAATTGAATTTCCTTTCCGGATGTTATTTAATAAAGGCTAAAATGAATGAAGTTTATTCTTCACAGACAACATGTACTTATGTTAGAGTACATAAATGCTATCTGAAAGGATACAATTCAGAAAGAAGCTTCCAGCTTTTATTCTTTGTGATACTTAAACTTGGATAGTCAAAAAGTGCTACATGCAGATGTTACAAAACTTGGCAATTCATATAACTAATTTAGAATATCATAATTTATGAACAATACTTTCCCCAAGTGATATTTTTACTACACATACATTTTTATGTGTACACATTATACACATGAGGACTAATTTGATTTTATAAATTATTGCCCTATTTTAATTCATTAATTATAACAGTTAAGTACTACCATTTTAGCCGATGGCTTTTTTAGGATATGCTGTACCCCAGATGCAAGATACTTATTGTGGAAGAGATAATATCAAGAACAACTAAAACTAAATCCCAGGTTGTCTTATCTGGAGCATGGGCAGTCACATTTTTATATTCTTTTTGGGAGCAGGGGTTACTTTAAATTCTGTCATCTTTCAGATAAAATACCCATATATTCTTAAGATCTTTGTTGATATATTTATGACTCCAAATTAAAGCAATCAGTTCTAAAAGGCCACTAAGCAAAAAGAAAAAAACCCTTTAAGATGCAAGAAGCTACAATAACTTGAGACACAAATGTGGAAGATTCTGTGGTAGTTAAATTACTATTTTTAGTGTAGCATTTTATCCAATATATTTGCAGAAATTTCTGAACTAGCTGATAGTATCCTATGCTTTGCATGGAGTTGCTATGCATACAGTTAGCATGGGAAAAATTAATAATGCTAACAAAAAAGCTTTTTCCATGATGCAGTAATACAAGATAGAATAGTAAATAAGAGTTGCAATTTTTTGTCATGACTTAGTAATTCTTTCTCACATTAATAGCTCTTAGGTACAACCTACATTTCTACATTTTATAATACAGTACTTTTCTATTGGACGCATACCACTTATTTTTGGTTAGTGCTCTTCAGTGTATTTGTGAACAGTACAATAATTTGTACTGGCATCTGAAACTGAACAATTCTCTTTCAATTAAAATAGTTGCAGTGCTTACTATGAAGCAATGTTTTTGGAAACCAAGGAATAAATATAGATATAAGATTGTCAGCATTGTTTTGCAAGCTACTCCAGGAATGTAAACTTGTGAACCCATCAAAAATGTAATGACTGACAGGTGGCTAATGATATATTTAGGAGCATATGTTTTACTAATCAAACAAAAAACCCAACTTCCACTCAGATTTGATTGCTTAACTTTTTAGAAGCGCCCAACGTGTTGTCACCTAATTGGCCTCATTTTAGTACAATCTATGTAGGAAAAAGGTATTTCTGGTATTAGGACAGTTAAAAGATCACAAAAATTCATGTGTTGAAAATCTGCAAATTACAAATTAAGCAGGATTGCAAAAAGATGGTTTTACAGTATTGATTACAGTATTGAATTCAACTTTTCTTTTGAGCTTTTAATCAAATACACAATGTAAAAAGAGCCTTGATAATGAAAAAAGGCACTCCAGCAATGCCTACCACTAAACCAGGTAATCTAATTTGAAGGGTTGCAGCTTTTTCACCCATCTCTTGAGGATCACAGTCATTCCACTTCAAAATCACATCAGTTCTCCCTACCCGCTTTATCTGTGACCATCTGTGAAATATCCGGAGATCCTTGCGCATTTGTGTATTTTTTGTGACCTTTCTCATCTTAATAGTGACAAAAAGAATGAGAAAACATGCTATCTGCTCACTGAGTTAGCTATAATTCTGGATTGGAAATCAGAATGAGTGCATTTGGAGATTTATTCAACCAGCCAATTAATTTAATCTATTTCACTTCTTCCTGAGGTAGAAGCCTTAACATTCCAGTTGTAATTACTAAACTACTTAAAGAAACTTTTGTCGAAAGTAGCTCTGAGATAGTTTAGATCTATCACAACCCACTTATTTAAGATTTGATTCAGAGTCTGGGACTGGTAAAAACTTTTTAACAGTTTAAGTCCTAACTAAGGACTTGAGAGATGTTAAGGTAACGTCTGAGTTTATAGACAATTCCGAATGCAGTGATTTTTATATTATAAACTTTTATTCATTAAACATGAAACTCAAGTCAACCGAACATTTAAAAATGTATCACAAATATCACTGACTGGCTCCGATGGTCGATACGGGTTGCTGCCAGCATCCTAGGTATCTACTACTACTACTATTATTTATTAATTATTGTTTTAACCATATTATGCTGGCAGACAGTAAGCTGAAGTGATTTCCTCTAGCGAAACCTTCTTTCGCCGCGGTGATGAGAGAGAAAGCCTTCCCACCCAAGAAAATAAAAGCTTGAGCAGGAGTTGACTAAGTCCCAAGGCGACTACTAGCAAGAATGGTCATTCCAAAAACAACAAAAGCACTCCGCGAAGACGGAACTCCCTTTTCACCTTCCATTCTCTCAAGCGCTTCTAATCGCAAAGCTCAGTTCAATTCAAATAGCTTGCTTCAAAAAATAGCTCTAAGATTCCCCTCATGGGGAAAGACCCGGGGAGGGGAGGGCTAAAATGGCGCCAGTCCCTTTTTCCCTCACTGACGCATTACAGCCTCGCCCGACGTGATATAAAATGGTTGCTGCGGTGGCCCCGAACTCAGCATAGTCAAGTACCCTGTAGGGTGGAGGCGGTCCCACGGGCCGATTACCAATAGATGGTGCCATCTAAAGCTAAAACGCCCAATGGCGATTTATGGGCGGTGTTTGGAATGGCCAAGTGGCCAATGAGAACCTAAGCAACTGCTGGTGGCAGGGCCTCCCCGCGCGGCTCTGGGCGGTGCTGGGATAGGCGGGCGGGCGCTGAGACGGCCGTTTCCTGTCCTGGTGCATGGTGGTCGGACGAAGGAATTGTTGGAAAATTTCTCAGCGAGGTTCGTATATAAATGTGTTTTTACCCAGTGTGCCTTATTCTAACCGCCGCCATCTCCGACTGGGATGCTTCACTCTCTGGCCTAATCCCTTTGCGGCGATGTTCCACAGAGGGAAATGTGTGAGAAAACGGGGAGTCGCCCTAGTATCGCGGCTCATATTAATAATAAAGCCGAGGCGTTGCCGCTGCCCGCCCGTTCCCTCTCCCCCCCCCCCACTTCATATTCCCGCCTTCTCGATTTCCCTGGCTCCAGGTCTTTTCTCCTGCGATGCATTTGTTTCGGGGGATGGGGGGGGGGGGCGAGTGTCGCCGCGTAAAATACCCTCTCGGGGTCTTCGGGCTGCAGGCGAAGCGGCATCGGGCGACATATTCTCCGAATGACTTCCAGGGGAGTGTGCTTGAGGAAGCTTTCTCTTTCGGGGCTGCGTCACTGGAGAAAGGTTCATATTGTATCTAGCCCTTGCGAGCCATGAAAGAAAAAGGTGGTCTTGAGGCATTGTTTTGTTCTCCGACATCGATCCCGAGCCGAAGGAACCTCGAAACGTCACCCTCGCCCCTTGCTCCCTGGTGAATTCACCCACGCTGCGCTTTAAACAAACAAACAAACAAAAAAGCAGCGGAACCATTTTTGACAAAACCTCGTAGATGAGCGAGCGGCGATCTGAAGCTGCGGGTTCCGAAAGGGAGTTTACAAATCAACGTGTGCTACAAACTTGCGTGTCTTCAGTCGATCTGTCGTCTGAACACCTTACCCGTTATTTAAGGACGTGCACGACAACGTTTTTTTCCCTTCTGATTACAATAACGCAAATATGAGGGATGGAAGAAGCTCTGCGTACATGCTTCTCAAGAGGCCCATTTCTGATGAGGTTTTTTTTTTTTTTTTTAGGTATAGGAAAGGAAGTTTTCTTCTTGTGGGTCCTACAATATATTTTTTTAATTCATTTTTAATTGTACAAACCCCTAAAACGATAAGATTCCTGCTTCTATGTCACACCATATGCCCACCAACCAATAAACGCTAGATCTGGTTGGTGTGTGGTGGTTGGAATGCAAGTCTAATATCTATATCAGAACTGGTTCACTGATTTAATTACTTTCAGAGATTTTAGGATTGTGGACTGTTTGTCTCCTTGACACTTTATTTTTTTTTTAAAAAAAAAGATCTTAGTGCTACAAATATTTTAGTTTCACAGAAAAATACATAAGTTGAAAGTAATTGCACTTATTCATGAAACAAAATCATTTCACATTTTTGACATGCTTTTAAAAACTCAATATCTTACTGACTTTCTACATTTAATATAGTATTTTTGCCATCTTTTAGTAAATCACATTTCCAGGTCTTCCATAAAACATACATAGACTTAGTATCAACTCAATAGATATTTATAAAGTATACATGTACCATATCAGGAAAATACATTTTTCCACTAATGTTAGAACAATTTGCAAATCTTATTTAAGAACTCTTAAAAATAAGAGGATTCTAAACTGACTTAAATCATATGTATTCCTAATGTAGGATATCATTAAGATGTGCAATATAGGAAATTGCACGCCATGTATAAATAAAATGTCAATTTTTAAAAGGAATTATCTGCCTACTTAAGGGAAGATCAAAAATCTAAGATCAAGAGGGCTTAGTTGGAAACATTAGTGGGACTTATAGTAAATGTGCTTTAATCGAATTAGATTTATGTAGAAAACAATACTTGCATCCAGAAGGAACAAGATTGATAAAAATAGATTTGTTCATCCAGTGATCATAATTACAACTTTATGAAGCAGCTAGAGACTTGAAGAATTCCCTGGAATGAAATGGTTATGGTATAGAGGCTCATGGGAAAGAGCATGAGTCTGCTTACAGATGTATGCATCTAAATCTAATTCCCCTCCACTGAATTGGGAAATCTTATAGACATGAGGCATGCTTCTAAGTCTCAAACCCAGTTCATTATTATTTCTTTTTTAAACTCAGTTTTTATGACATGTTTTTATTTATTGGTCCTACAAATTTAAGGAAACTTTTCAATAAAAGTTCTGATAAGTAAGCTGTATCCTTAATGATGTGTTAGTGTTTCATTTATAGCAGTGATTCTTAAAATGTGGCCCTTAGGATCCTGGGATAAGTTGAAAAATAATGCAATATTAAAACCCCAACAAGCAATTCTTAGAAGTGGTACTAACAATTGTGTCAATTTTAATTTTTAATACATGAAATGTTGATAATTGCACTCCATCCACACAAATCTCTTGAGATCCTCAATAATTTTTAAAAGAAAGAAGGGGTCCTGAGAAAAAAAACCTTTTTAAGAAAAACTGATTTATAGCTATATTTAGATGTAACCCTCAAAGTTGCTTGAGTGCTATTGTGTAAGGTAATCAACCTCAAATCTTTCCATCTAATGTTCCTTCTTGTTAAATCATAGTTTATTATAGATTGAAGTCAGTTGGAATATCATAAAAGACAAGGAAGTGACAAAGAGCAGTGCTTTGGGTTCATTTTCAAGAAGGTAATTTTGAACCCAGGGGTACAAAAACATAGCATCTGGTTGTAACTTTAAGTATCTGTGTCTTCCTTGGATCACAGAATTCTCCTCTAAACCTAACACAATTAACTAGTAGAGAGTGCCTAACTGCTGTAACATGAGTTCTTTATGAGTTTTATTCGTGCAGAAGATCATTTAAGTTTTTCCCCCATACGTATAGTAGAGCTTTTGATAAATTGGGTTATATTGGATTAAATCTAGACTGACCATTCTCTGAATGGAAAATCTCAAGTCTGTAGAAGGAACTGCAATCCTCCAGTGCCTCGTGCTAAGGTAGTAATGGGGAAGAGTTGATTTTGCCCTTTCTTGTGGACAAGTAGAAATTGTTGGAACCACCTCATTTAGCTTTTCTAATTAAAACTGATCCTTAATCCCTGAATAATTTATTCAGATCTGTGTTTAAGCATATATAATTGCTTTCATTTCATCTTACATTGCAAAGACAATAAGGCTAATGTGAAATTTATGATGTGAGTCTAGAAATCAAGTTTCATTCTGATCAGTGTTAAATATCAAGGGAGAGAAAGCTATTATGCTGTGATTAACTTGAGGAAACATTGCCATTCTGAAATGTCAACCTAATTAATTCAGTATTTTCATCAGAGGAAGTAGATTAAGTTTCCTGCAACACTAGTTTGGATTGCATGTTGCTCTCCTAGACTTTATTTTGCTATTAGGTACAGCTTTTACATATAAGCCTTTATATATTTTTACCTTAGAAGTGTTTTGTGCATTCACCCAGGTATAGCTACTGTAGATGAAGATCATTACATTATATTACATAGATAGAATACTTTATTGGCCAAGTGTGATTGGACACAAGTGGGAGGAGGTTAGAAGGGAAGAATTTAATGGACAACTGAATTTATAATAGTAGTTATATTCTATATTACAATATTCGACATATTGAAGAAGTATTTGCTTTTAGATGGGGATGATCCTAATCATCAGTATATTGGGTATTGGGTCCTGAAAATTTCTCCAAATATTTTTTTTTCCCAATAACCCACTTTACAAGTTGAGGATTTGCCATTGGAAAATAACAGCTTTGATTGTATAGGTAGTCCTTGACTTACAATTATTTGTTTAGTGACCAAAGTTACAATGGCACTGAAAAAAGTGACTTATATGATGGATTTTCACACTTTAACAGCCATTGCAGCATCCCCATGATTGCATGATCAAAATTTGGGTGTTTGGCAACTGGCATGTGTTTATGACAGTGTTGCAGTGTCACGGGGTCATGATCACCTTTTGCTATCTTCTGACAGGCAGAATCAATGGGGAAGCCAGATTTATTTATTTATTTGTTTATTTTTATAAAATAAAGTTTTATAAAATAAAGTTTATTTAAGATTCATATGTTTAAAACATTTAAAAAACAAACAAACATGTAAACAAATATATATACATATATACATTTTGCAGCAGGTATTGAGCATTGGCTACACTTTTTTTTCACCCCCTAACATTGATGTGATCTGCCTTGTTACAATACTTTCCTCGTTCTTTTAATGTTTTAATTTCACAGAATACTTTATGATTAAACAAATGCACGTCTTCCATAATTTCATAACTTATCCAGTTGTCAAATATTGCTTTTTCTTTAACCATTCATACCAACAATTCCAAATGTTATAGTAGTCACTATCTTAGTTTTTTTTTTTTAATAATTTAGTTAGGCTATCCATCTCTGTGCACTCATGAATTTTTTTAATGACCATCTCTGAAGGGACAGTAGACAGTTTCCAATTTTGTGCATAGCTTATTCTGGAAGCCAGATTCATTTAATAAACGTTACTAACCTTAACAACTGCAGTGATTCACTTAACAACTGTGGCAAGAAAAATCTTTAAATGGGGCAAAACTCACTTAACACCCATCCTGCTTAACAGTGGACATTTTGGGCTCAATTGTTCTAAATTGATGACTCTGTATGTATACTTTTGAAGTAATAATCATTGAGAACAGCAATTTTTTTCCTAAGAATGTAGGTATTGACTGGAAGCCTAACAACATAAGCAGGTATATTTAGAAACACCTTTTAATTCTGTGGAATTTATTTCTGAGTTGTTCTGGATTGTCAGTAACTGCTTCATCAAGTCCCTGTAAGCTCATGCTTCTGTCATTAGTGATAGAATATAGCTAGTTCTCTTCTGTTAGCCACTTTTTCATTTGGCTTTAATTTTTTTCCAAGTATCAGGTCTTCTTCAATTACTCTTTGCGCTATGCAACCAAAATACTTAAGCTTTCCTTCATTATTAGTTCTTCTAGTGAGTAATCTGTGTAATATTGAAGGCTTATTTTTACTGTTAAAGGTATTCTCAATTTTCTTCAGTGCAAAAATTCAAAGGTAACAGTTTTTCTTCATTCTTCCAAAGTTGCAGCTTTCATATCTCTTTATAATATTGTTGGGTCATGATTTTCCCAATTGCAATCATAAAAAAAT